CCAAACATTTTGGGAACAAAAACTGGATTTACGCACATAATTGTTACTAGCTATTAATTTATTGTTATATACTTCAAAATAATAACTCATATTATCAATAAGATAGTATTATACCTATTGTATATAATATTATGCATACAGTATACACGTATACAGTGTCGGCCTGGCCCAGGCGGCTAGGAGGCCCCGACCTGTATTTTTCAAGATGAGGCCTTATTTAATTTGTTGAATATGTTTAAATACAAGTGTATAATCAAACGTACTGCGTGCTGATACCCAAGCCATTGATTACTTAAATTTACTCAGAGACTGCAATTGGTTAGACCCAAAATCATTTTCCAACATTGAGTCAATGAAACATAAGTGATGCTTTAAAAAGAATTTGTGAATTATCAGGAGTAGACAGACAAGTAATATGTTTGGAGCTAAAACAATTTGCTTCTCAAATTAAAAATTTCCTACCAGATTTATCTTCAAGTAATTTAAATTACAAAAATAATACAAATACTCAAACTGAATCATCTATAATGATACTGAGAGTGAAAATGAAGTAACAAAAAAACCGGATTGTAATAAATGCAGAAATTGTATTTATTGTGCTTTTGTAATAATAATTCGAGAATTATCATTTCAATCAAATCTATTTTGTAATTTATTTATAGTTTACAAATTTGTATTAATTTTACCATCTACACAAGTTTCGTGCGAGAGAATTTTTCCAAAACTAAAGATTATAAAAACAAAATTACGATCAACTATAAAATAAGAAAATTTGGGTCCRTTAATGATGGTGGCTGTAGAAAAAGATATAGAAATCGACCGAGAAAAATTGATTGACAATGTGGCTAACTCATCAAATTTATTAAAAGGACTACTAATATAAATTGAACAATAGGTACAACAATTTAGTTATGTTAAGTTATTTAATTAATTTTTATGCATATCACATTTCGTGGTTACATATTGTATAAAAAATATAGATATTGTTAACATTTTGAACATTTTTTACTACAGTAAAAGCTGTTAACAAAAAAGTTAAAGGGGTATTTTTGARAGGCCTTTGAAAAAATTGCCTCATGGGCCCTTTAGATCCCAGGCCGACACTACATGTATAATGTATAATAATAACTGATAAGTCTAAATTATAATCTAATACTCTATAATGTAATACTTCTAGAGATAAATCTTTTTACCTGGCTTCTTACTCAATTTATTAGATYGTAATAAAACAAATCTATTATTCTAATTTTTTACCTATATCTATATTAGCCTCATTATATGGGCCAATTATTTCAGCCAAAAAACTCGATTTTTGTTTCCGCCAATTATCKTTTCCGTCAAAATGAAAACGGTTAGATTTTCATTTCCGCCAAATCTATTTTTATCTACCTATCTAAATTATAGTTTGAGAACCATTTAGAGTTACCTAGGGGCCACAACGAGGAGGCAGTTCTCATTGACCCCCAAAAAATTGTTTGACTTAATTTTTGGATTAAAACTAAAAAAAACTGAATTTTAATTAAATTAAGTCGATCTTTATTAAATTTGTGTTACACTATATGTCTATATGTATATATAAATATATAGTAAATCAATTATTTTTGACAGGTCTATACTTCTATAATTAATTATTAATTATTATTTTGAATAAT